TGATAAATTATCCTTATTTAAATTTTAAAAAAGGGAAATTCTATTTTGACCTGGATTATTTTAACCTGTCATGTGATCACCTGACCAGTGTGGCTTGAATCGAGCTCCGAGCCATTAAAAACCAGGTCACGTGTTTTACACTTTGATGTGAACCAATCAGATCGCACCGTTAGTTAGGTTCAGATGAACCTAAATTTGATCATACTTGTACGTACGTATTGTCACGGGGTTAATTAGAGGTAGGTCTGTCCTCTAAATATCTAGACCGATGGGATAAAGCTTCGCTTCGGGGCACCAAGGGACGCGTTTCTTTACTTATTTCGTCGTTACTCTCTTATGCGTGTTTATGCAATAATTATGGTTTTATATATATAATATACTTATTTAACTTATGTATGCAGCCACAATTTACAATGAAAGTTTATTTATTTATTATTTGTGTATTTCTTTATTATATTTGAGCGAAAGATGTACATTATTAATTATACTTGGGCTATATATACCTACTCTCTATCAATCGCTCAATTCTTTTCTCAAATTGACTGTCAACCTATGACTACATTGTTCATGCTATATCTCTAATAAACTACGAAACTATGACTATATAAATTATGCAAATTTATCACGCCACTATTCTGAATTTCGTATTATCAATTAATTAATCACTTCACATACGTCTTCGATCCCACCCGGTCATCGGATCGGTGACCGCCACTACCCGATCCTAAGTCACATGTGTGTTGATAAAATTCGTGACAGTATCAACCATCAATTTATACAGGATCCCAAAATCTTTTTAAAGTTTTTTAAAACTTCAAGACAATATTTCCCGATGAATACTTCAGCGAATTTTTTTTATAAGCTAATAGAATTAGAATAAAGGAAATTTTATCGAATTTAGTTAGATAGTCGTTGAGAAATCTTCACTTAAAGTTGAATTTTACTTGGCTTTTTGACTTTTTCGAAGATTTTTAACCTTTTTTTCAAACTTTAATCGAAGTTTCTCAACGACTATCTAACTAAATTCAATAAAATTTCTTTTATTCTAATTATAATAGCTTATAGAATTTAAACAAAAAAAAATCGCTGAAGTTAGTTAAGTATTCATCGAGAAATATTGTCTTGAAGTTTTAAAAAACTTTAAAAGGATTTTGGGATCCCGTATGAATTGATGGTTGATACGTATGTACAAGTAGGATCAAATTTAGGTTCATGGTTCACACTAAAGTGTCAAACACGTGACTTGTGTCGGAGCTCGATTCAAGCCACACTGGTCAGGTGATCACGTGACAGGTTAAAATGACCCGGGTCAAAATAGAATTTCCCTTTAAAAAAAATTGTTAAAAAATATTTGCCTGGTTTCTATTAACTTAACCCATATACTCCTAAAATCTGAAGGTGAAAATTTAAGCAATGTACGCATGTACGTACGTACAAATAATAGAAAGAAATGAGAGGTACGACCACTGCTATAATGCTACCACCAATTGAACAAAGTGGATCACGCCACCTCAAGAGTCTTCATAAAAATCACCATTAAACCAGGTACGTACAGTACGTACGTAATTATGTAGCATATAGTATTTATACGTTTTTGATGCATCAAAAGTTACGTTGATGCATCATAACTTTGAAAAGGATGTCTTTCCGCACACGTGACTAAAGTTACGTTTTTGATGCATGACTATACAGTATTCGATAACTAGGCCAATGCAAAGCATTATACAGTACATCCGGAGCCTACGTATAATTATCGAATAGTCATGTATCAAAACCGTAGCTTTAGTCACGTGTGCGGACAGACATCCTTTTCAAAGTTATGTTCTTAATTTTTATCACTATGATGCGTCAGCATCGTAACTTTTGATGCATCAAAAACGTATCTTTTGATGCACTTTACTCGTCCATTAGGTGTCCTCCGCTAAGTTCCAGACATTTATAGGCTCCGGATATACAATGCTGTGCATTAGTCTAGTATTTATAAATTGATTAATAATAATCAACTCAAACCAGGGTTTAGACGATTCCTTTATGAGATCATCGTTATTTCATATTTCATATTATGAATAGTTGAGCTTTTTTAAGAATTAAAATTTCATTTTATGAACTTTAAATTTGCTGTTTGCTAGTAAAATTGTCAAAAAATTTTATCGAAAATGCAATTTAAAACAGTGAAATAAGAATAAATTTCAAATGAGATTAATTTATGTATCAGTAGTTTAAATTAAAAATTTATTGCGAGATTTTGCACTTTATTTTCGTGAGAATAAATTTCATAAGAGATTCACAGTTATAAACATTCTACTGATGAAACTTTAAAATATTGATTGTTGCATCTAGAATGCAGCGTATTCAACACATAAAATATCGTCAATGTTAAACAATATTGGGGTTTGGGCAAAAAGATAACGAAGTGGTTTTAAGGAAAATGTGTTTACTTCAATTACTTTAATTAACAATTTTATACAGTACAAATATTTTAGTATTTTATGAAATTGCAGTGCTACTTATTAAGACAATGAAAAATCGCCAAATTCAAAAGTTTTCAACCACTATAATAAGAGGATAAATTATAGTTTGCTGGGTGGCCTTAACCAGGTAAAATAGACTTAAAATTTTATGCTAAAAGAATTTCAAAGAAATCAGTAGAGAAATAACTAAATGAAAATTTTTAATATGTGGCGTGCTGTATACGTACGCACACACAGTACTTAAGTACTATATGCGAAAAAAATTTTAAACGACACATCATAAGTCTAGGCACTTTAAATGACACACAACTATAAGAGAAGTATCACTTCATTGAAAATCACCAATAAACATCACTTCATCTACATCCGGCAGCCAATCTAACGCAATTTTTAAAATTTAGTGTCCTTTTAAAAAGGAGGGGAGCGAATGAAAATATGACTGTTCCTTGGTGGAATATATTTTAAGTGAAGTTTCATTTCTCCAATAATTGGGGCTAGGTATTCCACATATCAGCATGCTTCCTTAAATGAGTCTATTTTTATTCAGAGGTTTTGAATTTTCTATTAGTTCTAATGTAAATTTATTTATTAATAACTAAAAGCATCACGCTCTGAGAAATCACTCAAAACGCTACGAAATTTTCGGGAACGAATTTTGAGAACACAAAATACAGCCTTAATAAATATAGTTTGCAAACATTGAGTAAAAAAAACGGTAAACCCGATTTAAAATCCAGTAACATTTCTTTCAATGGAATACATTCTAAGTTTATACTGTATGTACTCTACCAGTAGTGCCATCTTTCAATAAACTTACAAGTATCTGTCCCGTGATCCCTAAGAACGAATTACATCCACTGTAGCACCGAAATAAAATCACATGACTAACCCTAACTGCCCCAAGAACTATACGCAGCAGCCAATCAAATTCCAAATTAGGTGTAACGTGAATTGAATTAAATTGACGCTTTAAAAAAAAAAAAATTAAGAACTTTGAGGCTGTCTTTTATCAGTTTCACTTAGCAAATATATTTATAACGAATATATCATTTGTGATTATTTAGTCTTTGGGAGAGTACAAACTAGCCTTCTCTCAAAACTTTTAGATTTTCGATTTTCAGCTGGTGGCTTAGAAGATTCAAGAAATTCAAGAACGGAATACAAAAAATCATTACATGAAGTAGAAAAATGTTTTCAAGGTGAATAACTTATATAATTTCAGATCAAAGTAATGAGGACACTATCTACCCTAAGCTACACTTAATGAATTTGGACTCGTGACGTTTGTTCGTCATAATACCTCTTCTTGTCAGGTCATAAGCGATAGAGTATTTTAGAAGCCTCAAGACAAGACAAATATTATGGCGAAGAACAAAGTTGATTAAAAGTTAATTTGTGTGAAAAAAAGCAAATGCAAGGGTTTAGAAGTTGCAGTACCAGAACTAAAATGGTGATACCGTATTGGCGCTTAATAACGCACATGGCGTTATTTCGAAACTCGCATTTTTTTGAAAATTCTTTTTTTGACTCAAAATAACGCCCATGCACGTCCCAAAATAACGCACCCCTTAAATGTACCATATTACTTTTTCAGGCTAAATTCATTATTAAAAATAGGACTTTCTCTTGTAACCCAAATTAGTCAAAATGATTCGTATTACTGCGCATGCGCGTCCCCCAGAGTCTCGAAATAACGCGCAGATGCGCGTTATTACGCGCCAATACGGTAACTGTCGTTAGGATTGTTTGTTGCCGGAATAAAATTTTAACATATTATTATTACTCAATGCACTACGAATAAAATAGTAATAACCTGGATCAATCACGAGACTGGCAATTTTGCGCTACAATTTTGGTACCCTAATTTTTTTGTTTAGTTTCAGTATAATTCAAGCAAAAAAGTAACTTACAATTGATCTAGTCAATTAAATACAGCATCAGTAACATGATGGTCTCACATTTTTAATTGATTGATTATATTGTATGTAACGTGATTCGCTAAAGCAAATACACGCAGTGGTAATTTTGCATCAAATAATTAAACATTATTCTTTATTGTTACACATAATACAACATATTTTTATCTATAAAAAAAAAGTCTAATAAAACAAAGAATAATAATGAATAAGGAAAATTTTTTATCTTAGTTACTTAGAAAAATAAAAAAATAACAAGTGACAACACATCGAAGAAAACTTCTACAGTATGTCAGTAACAAAATAGAATTGTAATATCATATTAAATAAAATATCAGGCATGTTAAATAATGTAAATTTTTTTTCTTTTAACAAGAATTTTCTATATTTACGTAAACTTGCAAGTTACAATAAAATAACTCTTTGTAGTATTTCTAATTCATACACAGGTTATAATCGTCTTTACTTCAGCGTTTGTATATAATTAATCGAGATTAATATGCATCATACTTTTCCATAATGGGTCTCGTCGTTCTATTTAATTAAAATGGATATATATATTAACACTTCACGTATTTGATGTATTTGATGTATTAAATTATATTCATAAATATTACTCACCGATAAGTAAAGGCCAAGGGTCTAAATAATCTTGATTGATTGACGGAATAACTGATTGCAACTTCTTACACAATCCATAATCAAAATGCAATCTCGTATCTTTTGCAATCCTCAATTCCCTGACACATTTTCCATTCTCTCGAGAATAATCTGCAACAACTTCTAAAAGAGTATCATCAAACTTTTCTACATCTAAACTTAACACTTTCAATGGTGCTTGACATTCATCCAATAATCCACCCATACTTTCTGGTGCAATATTGTATCGGCATTCCAATTGTAAATGTGTTAATGTTGGCGGTAATAATTGTCCAACTTGTTTAAGGGGTGCTATGGTGAACATACAAGTGTTTGGTCCTACATCGCTAAGCGCCAAATGTGTTAAAGTTGAGGTAGAAATCCATTTAAGTAATGGTATAGGAGTTGTGCGAATAGCGAATGATACTAAATGTGGAATTTGAGTACTAAGGATCTCAACCAAATCTTGATCTATAAAATCAATTGATAATTCTTGTAAAGTTTGAGCAGACATCATAATTATTGAAGTGCATGTGTTGTGTGATAAACCATCTTTAACACTATTATGATGATCATGATTCAAAACTAATTTTTTTATACTAAGTTGAGCGGTTTTAAATAAAGAATCCGAAAGTGTAATATCTTCTTCTTGATAACAATTTACCAAATATAAAGATGTTAAATTATGACATTTTGCTAATATCTGTAATGAATTTCCATCAATATAAATCTTTCTCAAATCAGCATGTGTCAATGATTTAATTTGACTAGTAAGAGCAGAGAATACCGAAGCAGATCTTGAAGGATTAAATAGGCCGGCCAATGAAGAAACCATACTAAATTGGTTTAAAGATTGTTGAGCTTCTATAAGTTTTGGAATTTTTTGAGCAATCGAACCATCATGATGAGGAGTTATTACTAATCGATGAATGTTTTGTGAATTTTCGATTATAATTGATAAAAGATTCGTTAATTGACCTTGATCCACATTTGAACAGTTTATTCTTAATTCATAAATTCTTGCAACAGCTTTTTGAATTCCTGTGAATAATGTGCAGTCAGTCATATTATATCTACTTCGTGTTCCACAATCTAAAAGTCTTAAACCATTAGATTCGTTAATTAACATTTCAAAGATTAACCCTTCTAATGTAGTGAAATTTGCTTTCTTTCGAAGTCTGTAATCAGTATTTTTCGCCCACCATTGTTCAAGTGCGCTTTGTAAACTTCCAATTTGTAATTCTTTAAAATAAGATGGATAATCAAATAAGGGTTTAGATTTATCTAAAACATGACCTTCATCTTCCAGCATTTGACATGCTTCGTCGGATAAGCAAGCTAAATATGTTCTAATCAATAAATGTCCAGCATCTTGATCATCTACCAAGTTCAAACTAGAAAATGGGTGGCTCCAAAGTAAGGCAGTAGCATATTGACACCATGATCGATTAACTAAAGTCCACGAATATAGAGATGGACGATCATTATCTAAATTCTTGAGGATTTCTTCGATACAATCAGATGGGAGTATCGGATTTTTTACATACACACTCATTCTTAATGATTTTCGTTTACTCATCTTGAATATGTTTAAATAATCTAAAAAAAAATCTTGATTATGCTTTGAAACATTATTGTTACAAAATTTTAATTAGATAATATTAAATTTTTAACCGTACCGTAACACTCAATCAACAGTAATAATTACCTTATCAATAATTAAACTTAATATAAATTTATTTTTTCAAATAATAGATAAAATACACAAGTATAAAATAATTTCAATTTAAAATTGAAATTGTCTTGCTATTCCTAAACTCGTTAGTTATACAAATAAACGATGTTTTTTACTTCCTCATAAACTTCGGAAAAAATATAAAAATAGAAAATAAAGGATTATAAATTCAAAAAATGGTCTAAACTCATAAATCTACCAAAAATTCCGTAACGATGACAACAAAGGTTTTTATTCGCCTTAAAAAAAAAAACCAGCAAAAATAATTTTTGAATTTTAGTGATTACGGCAATTTTAAAAAAAAACTGTAAGCATAGTTCGTAAGTACAGCCTGTAAATTTATTTTTTAGGTTCAACTAACTTTATATTTTAGAGTTACACTAGAACTTATTCAATATGTACTTCCACGCCCTATTACTTTTTTGTGTTTGTTCCTCTATTTATTTAATGTTTTAATTATCTCTTTGGTGTTAATAATAACGGTAACACTTTGCAACTCGTACATAGCATTTAATGCATGCAATTGGCGGATTGAACAAAGAATACAAGCATTGTATGCAGTTACAATCATGGGAATCATGGGGTTGACTTTATAAGGACAAAAATGGAAAGAATTAACGTGATCGTAACATATGATAACTCTCTTATTTTGGTTCCTTGCTTTCTTGCTCTCTTAATGTTAAAATAATTTATTTTTAAAATTCAAGAGAGATTTAGTTGTCTTGCTAAATTATGTATCGGCAAGTAATATTTCACACAATATAAAAAACTACTATACACGTAAATTGTTTACCGAATTTAAACACGGAGATGTTTCATATTAATGTTTTTTACTGGTTTATTTGTTTGACAACATATCGATATTCAGTAAGATCTTAATTTGTCAAAACGTTAAGAACCAAATCATTTTTCCTATATTGATGTCAGTTTTATTAAAAAAAATTTTTTTTTTAATTCCCAGCTAACCAAATGTTATCTGTCATTTCTTTTTAATAGGAAACACTCATTGTGGTATGAATTACGTAATTATGTGATATATATATAACTTCTTCTATTTCATAATTGATCTTGGTGCAGTACAACGTCAACGACCAAATCGGTAAGTTTCTAACGACGGAACCTATTTTGGTTCCGACTTGGTAACTTATCGAGTCGATCATTGACAATTTTTCAGTTGTCCCCGGATTTATTATAATAGATGTAAGGGAAAAAAAGTGATCTTGAGATTAAAAAATAAATTCCAAAAATTACAAATTTTAGAAATTTTAGAACTCTATTAACAATAACAGATAATTAACCTGTATCGATATACGTAATATCATATGAGTATCGCATTTTTATACATTTGATAGTTTTTACCTTACATGAATTCTGAAATTAGCCGGACGACACCAAAGTGTTGGTCATCTACCAGGTGCGTAGCGCCAACATAACAGAATAAATATTACTGTAATGCAATTCTACATAATAATAATCAAAAATGAACAATTAAGCTACTTAAATTAATTTTTTGTATTGATCAGCATTAGGTAACCAGCTCCCTTACAGATCACGCTTTTTTGAATTTTGAACTCTGTATTAGTATGGTGAAACTATCAAGCGTAAAATGCAGGCTTTCATTTGTACATCCTTCATGCAATTTTTGAATCTGTGCCCGGTTTGTTGAATATCTACTTCAACATGATCTTCAACGTGATCTAGCCGACCAATCAGATTCGCGTTTTAATAGTATATATACCAATACGATTAATTTTTTATTCAAACAAGTCATGCGCCTGCCCATGCGCTGGGAGTTTGTTTTTAATATTTCTTGTTAAGGTTTATTGGTTGACAAGAATGTTCTTTCGTACAAACTAATCGTGC